TGAAACAATATCCTCTAGGACTGACGCTGACAATGTTACCCGGCGACCCAAAAAAGTGCGACAACATGATCTGACGTGTTACTATTCATGGCAGTATCCTGATCTCTTCATGAAGGATGGTTCTGCACACGGGATCCGGTAAACAATAAAGATATCTGTAAGTAATCACATCCTTCCGAAACTGTTAACGTTTTACAACTGAGGTCGAAACGTACGTGATAAATTACAACAGACTGGTGTCAAATTCTTGGTCAATTAACTAGGGTGTTCCTTGTTTTCCAAATTGTGTGGCATGCGAAATCCCACCAACTTCTGGGCGATTCATTAAAGCCTTACTAGCTATCGAGTTTTACTAGATTCAAATTGAGGTATAACGTTAATAACCGAATGGAAACATGGTACACAAAGCACCAACTCACAGAGGGAAGTTGGGGCGTTCTTTAAGAAGCAATAAAGATTAAGAGGTGATTAAGTGTCATATGACACTGACGGAAGCCCATGCCATTGGTGGAGATTGTAATCCAATATACCTTCATTTATTGTTTTAAAATTGATTTTCTCTCTATATCCACATATATTTTGCGCTATATAAGTAATAAGTTATTATTACTATTATTATTATTATCTTCTGGTAATCATCATGATGAAAGATGGGTTAATTGGACACCTGCCTCAGAGCAATTATTTCAAGACTCAAACCCCCTCTTCCTGACAGTCTTTACTTCTTCCTGCTATGGTCCACCTAAAATATTACTATCTCACCCTATTACATACCATAATTTTTTTTTATCATGGTAGCTCATGATTAACTGGTAAATTAAGAGTGAAACTGATAAATGTAAAGTGTCAGTGCTAATCCAAAAAAAACGAGAGCGGTAAAATGCCATGAGAAGCCTTTGGTCCACCTTTGCACATGTACAAGATTCCTGTATCCAAATACCACAAATGATTCAAAAGCAACACTTTAATTGCTCTTTGTGACAACAAATCTTTTACAAACTTGAGTCGTATGTCTCATCCACATTATATCTGTATGACAAATCCAAGTAAATGACCATTATCTCACTTTATTGTACCTCAACTTTGTTGTTAAAATATTATTTTATGTTGTTTTAATTACCATCTCCTGCAACAAATGACAGGGCAAAATTATCACACAGGCATCTGAGTTATTCTGAATGTCTTCTTTTTCAAGCTTGAGAAGTCTTGTTTATCTGGCAAGTATGCTAAAATGACTGTGAGAAGATAAGACGAAAATTAGAACTCTTGGAAACAGTAAAGAGAAAGCATTTTTTACACAAAATAACAATTTTTTCATTAATACACAAAATTGTTATTGTGGAAGTTTACTGAGTTAGATTATAATGAGATGTAAAAATGCATTTGTGGGTTGGAAGGATTGAGCCTAAGCACAACCATTTGAAAAATAGCTTGTTTTTTTAAGCTGGGTGAGTATTTTGCCTACCAAGTGGCTGTTAATCATTTGACCCCTGACCTTTGTTTTTATTCTGAAGCCATCAACTGACCTGATATTTTCCATATGGTGATGTCATCCACAGAAGGCAGCAGAATTCAGGTCTAAATCTGAAGACTTCCCATAGTCCTTGTTCTCATCCTTGAGGCCTCCACCTTAGCCATTGACATAAGGTGTTGAATAGTTTCAGAGTTAAAGCTGCTTGTTCCAGTTGGTTGGTAGCTACAAGCTCCAAAAGACAAGAACTTGCTCTGCAAAGTCATTGTAATAAGCAGATCATGGTCATCATGTCACAAGCATCTTTTTTTATTCACACTTATTCTACTAAAAATACAACAACGAGAAAGAGAAAAAGTAGAAAAAAAAAAGAAGAGAGTTCTAACTAGACATGAATTTACACAAAGCAGTGGAAAGAGTGTGTGGTAGCCAAAGGAGCCAAGCTTTCGAGTTGGCCACTACATTTTTTACACAAAACAACAATTTTCATTCTAGAGCTGTGTTAAAAAGTTTGTTACAAGTTTGTACAGAGAGTAGTGAGGAAACTCTGAACCCTCTAAGACCTCAACATCAGAATGCACATTCTCATCAAAGTTCTTTCTAAATTTTCTCTTGACACAATCAAGGTGCTTAACAATCAGGAGCTTATTTAATTGATGATTTTACAAATCCACAGAGTTTAGCATGGTCTGTGCTCTTATCGTCATAGACATTGTCATCACAGTGGACAAAATGGTGTGGACTCACAAGGTGCAAATAAGTGAGTCAGAAACAAATTTGGAGCACAATTCGTTTTTTTGCCATAATTCTTCACATAAAATCATGTTTCTGAGTGTGACGAAGATCATGATACATTGACTCAAGCCATGTTGTTTGTTTACACATTGACGAAGGCAAATTGGCCAATCAAATTGTGACATTAGTACATTACTGCCAATAGTGGTAAAAATTTTCCTTATTCTCATAATCTTCACATTTGATCCTAGGATAATACTGTGACGGGGGAAATTAGATGCTGTTCACATTAAAGGGTTAGCAGGTTAAGAAAGTACTGCTATAAAGAAAAATAACATAAAACAAACACAACATGGTTCACTGAACAACACAAAGCTAGTCAAACCAACCATAATTTGCTGGGAACTTTCAAGGGAAAGGACACCTTCTTTACAGTGTTTGTTTGAGATAAGAATAAGTTCTTCCCACCAAAATAATATAACGGAACTGTTTAAAGGTTATTAACTTGAATAAAAGAGCACACTTGTACCCTTTTATTTATGCAGGTCTTACATACTGTATCTTAATTAAGTAGGTCATCCTGTTGCAAACTGATTGCTAAATATCAAAATAACAACAGAAAATGCAGTAACAACTTTTAACCACAAATCTTCTCATTTTGAAATCCTTACTTTCCAGAATTTTCTTCTCCTTAAAATCCTGCTAACTTGCAACCCCATTCTAGTAACACTATAGAAAGTGCAAGCCCATAATTGTCAATAACCCCAGCCTATCACTAGGAAACACTTCCCCGCCTCCCGCCTAGACATTTCCAGACTAAGCTGTGGACCGTATATTGCCTCGACTAAATTTCTTATGTTGCTCCATATTAACGCTACAATTCTCCTACCGCGTATGTCCATTGTATTACTTGTCTATGTGTTCAGTAAGGTTTATTATTTTTCAATACCATCCAGCAAACAAACTAACCCGCAAAAGCCTTGAATCCGTGATTTCTATATCAACAAATCTATTTCCTTTTCATATATGGCTTCAAAACTATGGAACTCTCTTCTGGACTCTTTCAGAACGTCTGACTTTTC